GTAAGGTAGAGGCGTGGTCAGGGCTGCCAGGAGGGGTGTAGCAAGCAGCGCGTGGGAGAGGCCAGCATCGCACCTGCCCATCAAGAGCGCTTCACTGATGCTGGCACATCCTCGGGCCCCACAGTTTGGAATTACTCACTGTGACCTCTGACCCCGTACCCTTGTTCTGGGCTTCAGGCGCTCTCAGGAGCAGCCCTCCAGCCTACTCTCTCCCCTCCCTTCTCCCCCCCCACCTCTTCAGGAGGCCGACCCAAAGGTGAGGGAGGGGACCGAAGTTCCCACGTGGCCCCAGCTCCTGCAGACCCCTGGGCACTGTCTGCTGTCAGTTCACAGCTGAGTCTCCTGTGCAAAGGCAGCGTGAGAAGTCAGGGAGCAGCGCCGGCCTCACCGTCAGGCCCGACCATCCGGAGGAACCAAAGCTCAGGGCTCACAGGCCCTCTCCCTCGCCTGGGCCCCTGTAGACCCTGGAGGCCGCCCTCTCCAGCAAGAGGAGCTAAGGTTGACACACACCGCCAGCTTCATCCAGGGTCATTGTACCCACCAGCAGGGGGGCCCAGAGATGGGGCAGGATGATTTCAGCCTTGCTCAGCCCCAGACCGTCCACCCTCAGCTCCTGGAGGCCACCCTGGTCCATTCCTGGGGCCCTGTGCTAAGTGCTTAGTCGCTCAGCGGTGTCCGACTCTTTGCGACCCCAGGGACTATAGCCCACTAGGCACCTCTGTCCATGGGGATTCTCCAGGCAAGAATATTGCAGTGGGTTGCCATGCCTTCCTCCAGGGGATCTTCCCAACCCAGGGATTGAACCCAGGTCTCCTGCATTGCAGGCTGATTCTTTACCGTCTGAGCCACCAGGGGTCCTGGGGCCATGGGTCAACACTAATCATCCTGTCCCAGCTCTGGTCCCCCAGCACTGTGTGAGGTGGGGGACATACCAGGAGGAAATTCCCTTGGTTAGCCATGGGTGCTCCCCAGAGAGGAGAGGGCTGAGAGGATGGTGGGAGAGAGAGGAGACCACTTCCTGCCCTCAGGTCTCTCCTGGGGCTCCCATCCCCCACCAAGGGGACTCAATCTGAGGATGAAATTGACAAGCCTTGCCTGGAAGGGGAGAGGATGCTGGACAACTATCCCTCCATCCACTGCCTGCCCACCACTATCTGGATGGCCAGGGCCCGTGGTGGCAGCAGACGGGAGGGTTTTGTCATGTCTGAGAGCCAGAGGTGCCGCCCAGCTTGACCTGGCATCTCATCTCCCCAGGGATTGTGGAGCTCACGGGTCTCATGGGGACCCTAGGTTTGGGGGACATCTATTCTCTTTAGCCAGCTTCCCAGGTGGCACTAGTGATAAAGAACCGGCTTGCCAGTGCAGGAGATAGAAGAGATGTGGGTGCAATCCTTGGGTCAGGAAGATCCCCTGGAAGAGGGCATGACAACCCACTCCAGTATTCTGTCTTGCCTGGAGAATTCCACAGACAGAGGAGACTGGTGGGCTATAGCCATGGGGTCACAAAGAGTCAGACATGACTGAAGTGACTTAGCATACATGCATGCTCTTTAACACTAAGAGAGCTGGGCTCGCATCTGGGGAGGTCTTAGCCACTGTCAGGACAAAGGCCTGGTAGGGGCTTCACTGTGGGCTGCTCCAGAAAGGGCCCATTTGGAGGACCAAGCCCGCAAAGGGCACTGGGAGTTCAGTGGTTATTTTTCTAACTTGATGAACCTGCATGACCCCTGGGGGCAGCCTGTGGCCCTTTCTTGGGTCCCTGACCCAAACAGCCCCCTTCAGACTATACCCCACAAAGTGGTGAACAAAGGAGGACTGTCCACAGTACCCCCAACCCCTCAACACATATACAGGCTCACACGCGTGTACACACACTCTCACCCCAGACACAGATGCCCCTAAGACAGATCCCTGCCACACCACTCACAAATATACACATACACAGACTCGCATGCTACCCTCCTCCCCCAGAAACACACACACACACACACTTTCCTGTGTCAGCAGTTAAGTCCACTGTCTCCAAGCCCTAGGGCTAGATGAGGCTGGGCTTGGGGGCTGGAGCTGGGTCCAGGACCACCTCAGTGGATCCAGGGTGAGGTCTCCGGGCTGGGCTTCTGGAGCTCGTGCTGGAGGCCATCAAATGGTGATCACGATCATCGCCTGGACTGTGCCCCCTGCCACTGCTGCCAGAAGGAAAGACCCTCTTTGATGGGACGGTTTGTGTGTGTGCGCGCATGCTCAGTCACTTGGGTTGTGTCCGACTCTTCAGTCATGTCAACGGACTGTAGCCCACCAGGCTCCTCTGTCCATGGGGATTCTCCAGGCAAGAATACTGGAGTGGGTTTCCATGCCCTCCTCCAGGGGATTTTCTCAACCCAGGGATGGAACCCCAGTCTCCTGCACCTCCTGCATTGGCAGGCAGGTTCTTTGCCACTAGTGCACCTGGGAAGCCTGTGTTGTGTGTGTACATCTGCCCAACCCAGGACTGGTTGTCTCTGTGAGATGACACAAGGTATCTTTTCCTACTTTCCAACACACACACACACACACACACACACACACACTCACACCATGGAAGGATGGCTCCTGGGGCAATCCTGATCGTCTCCAAGCAGCAGCACTGGGTGAAGGCGCCCTGCAGGCTGCCCCAGCCTGGCTACTGGGTCTCTCTTTGTTGAGCAGACCAGTGACATTGTCACGTGCGTACGTACTAAGTCGCTTCAGTAGTGTCTGACTCTGTGCGACCCTATGGACTATAGCCTGTCAGGCTCCTCTGTCCATGGGATTCTCCAGGCAAGAATACTGGAGACACATTTGCCAAATGTGTCCTTGACCTGAGACACTGTTTCTACATGGTGAATTCTGCCTCACTTTGTGGGCACCACAGCCCAGAAGAGGCAGTTTCTGGGTCATGGTGAGCCAGGTCCTCCCTGCCTCCTCTCACATTGACCTGGCCCTGGCCTGGGTGTGGGTCAGCCTCTCAGCCTCTTCCTGCCTTCCGCACCTTCGAGTCCCCCAGACCCTGACCCCGGCCTCCTCTCTGCCCCTGTGAATTCCTTCTGTCCCATGGCCCAGGTTGCTATCAGCTGCAACCCAAGGGGAGGTCTTGTGCTACTCAGCATTCTTGGATGCCTGTGGCCTGGAGCAGGCAGGGACAGCCTTAACCCCTTTGTTCTACTACTTTTAAACTTTCTAGAGCCCCAAAAGAAAGATGGAGTACCTCATGCCAGTGTGAGCCTGGCTAGGATCCAGTAGCTTGTTTCACCCTGAGGACCAACAGCATCCTGTCAGGGTTTGGGAGCTTCCCCCTTAGTACGTGGGAACAGACAGAGCAATCTCCCGGGAGGGGTCTGCAGACAGGCTACAGAAAGACCCAGGAGGGCATGCGGCAGGCTGCTGGGGGACAGGCTGACAGAAAGATGAGACCCAAAGTGGCAAACAGACAGACAGGGCCCTAGAAACTGCCAGGTGGTTCAGACGGTACAGCATCTGCCAGGCAGCACTTCCCATTAAAACAAGACCCCAAAACTGCCACGGTCGTGCCCACACTCAGTGCTCCAACACTTTCTCTGAGACATTTCAAGAGTCACCCTGGTTTTTGACAATTTCAGAACCATTTCTGCATGTGACAGTGTGAGTTTCTGGAGGAGGTGGTTCCTCCGCAGCTTCTCCCCTCCCTCCACCAGTGCTGGTTCAAATAGAAGCAGGCAACCCTGGCGGCTTTGAGGTGGTTCTGTCAGGCGAATGAAGTCAGGGATCAAGGCCAGTGTTAGGGGGTCTGCAGATGACATCATTGGGCCAAAGCACTGCTTATCCCAAGGTTCAGAAAGACAGAGACAGGACTTCCCTGGTTTTCCAGTGGTTAATTATCAGCTGGCCAATGCAGGGAACATGGACTCAATCCACAGTCTAGGAAGATTCCACATGCCTCAGCGCACAACTTCTGAACCTGTGTCCTCTAGAGCCCGAGCTCCACAACAAGAAAAGTCACTGCAATGAGAAACCCTCCTACTGCAACTAGAGAAACCTCGTGTGCAGTAACAACGACCCAGCACAGCCAAAATAAAATAAAATAAAATAGAAAAGAGAGCCAGGGATGGCATCATTCTCATCTGGAAATGCCACACCCCCTGAGACCCATGTGCAGTGTAGTAGTGATCGCAGGGGCAACCCCAAAGGCCAGCTGGTCTAGAGAGCTTGTCAGTGCTCTGGCAGTCCCCAGAAAGCCCCCACAAAGTGTACTGATAGGAGGACCTCCACGGGGACAGGTCTGTCTTCTTTCAGGATGAAGTGTGCCGGTACTGAGATCTCAGGACCTCGTTGGTGGCGTCCTGGCCTTGGGAGCCTGGGTGGAGACGCAACTGCGGGCCCTGAACCGACACTGCTGGGGCCTCTGCTTCTTCTGCGCATGCCCTGGGCGGGGCCTGCAGGCGCCTGGCTCCCACCATCCTTCCTAGGGAGAAAGAGCCCCAGAAAGCCCCGGGGAAGGGTCCCTATGCTCCCGCACCAACACATAAAGTATAGACGCCCCTGCTCTGGAAACCATGTGCTTTATTTCAAACCTCATTCCAAGGGAAACTCCCCCCTGGGTCGTAGAAAAGCTGCAAACCATGCGGTTTGGTTCAAGGCAATGCTAATAAGGGAAATCCCTTACCGCTGGGGCCCTCGTCCGCTGGGCCTCAGACTTCCCTGGTCATCCCTGGTCATCCTGACTCTTGGCGGAGCTGGGTGTGGGCAGCCGGGACTCTGGAGTGTCCAGCTCACCGCCCCCACCCCCCCAGGATCTTCCTTATTTGAGGAGTATGGAAGGGGGTTATGGGACAAGGGCCAGGGTCTGGTCCAAGGCCTGGGCCTCTGTCCCCCCTGAAGGGCCTGCGCCACTCTCAGAGCCTCCTCAGAGCCCTGTTGCTCTGGGTACATCTCAGCTCCCAGGTGAGGACCCAAGGGGGAGTGGGATGCCCCTGCGGACCTGTGAGTGGGTGGGCTGGCCCCGCCCCTCAGTACAGGTCTGCAAAGGGCTTGGAGTAGTTGAACATCAGGTAGTCCATGTAGTAGAAGTCGTAGGTGCGCTGCCGCTGCAGGGTAGAAAGCTGGGCGAAGTACTGGTGGGTGATGCGGGCTGTCGTCCGCGCCTCCTCCGAGTGCCGGTCCTTGAACCTGGGGAAGGTCAGGTTCCGCGGCGCGTGGATGAGGCTCAGGAAGAAGTTGGCATCGTCCTCCATGCTCTCAAACTTGCCCACAAAGTCATAATCGATGAGGCAGGGGCTGCAGAGTCGGCTGACATGGTCCCAGTGGATGTCCATGCCCACCGGCCGGTGCACGTCCAGCAGGTACTGCACGAACTCGGGGAACCGCACGCCGGAGCCCGTCCGCAGGGCCTCCCGAGAGGCGTTGGCCCGGTACCGGGCCAGGATGGCCTTGCCGAAGACGGGGTGATAGTAGCTGTTGGGGTGCTCGAACTTGTCGCGGAAGGCGGAGACCAGCCTCTCGAAGGGCTCGCGCACGAAGAGCATCTTGGTGTAGGTGCTGAGGCGGTGGAGGATGCCCTGGCGGTCGAAGGTGTCCAGCCGCTTGAGGGCGCTGCCGTAGTGCACCGTGTTGTGCTGGATGTCGGTGGTGGACGAGGCCAGCCCGGCCAGCACCATGAGCACGCGCTTCCAGTTGGAGCAGCCTGCCTTGGGCACCTCGCAGTACAGCACGCGGTGGCGGTCCTCCACGAAGATGCGGGACACGTGGCGGGGAGTGACCGCCCTGCGGCTGCTGCTCGCGCGGTACTTGGCGCACGCCTCCCGCATCACCCGCTTGCGCTCCCGCTGGGTCTCGCGCAGGCTGGCCCAGCGGCCGTCCAGGGCCCCGGGGGCCGGCCGGACCAACGTGCCGGCCGAGCTGTTGGCGCGGAGGGCCGCCGCAGCCGGCATTTTCTTGATGAGCAGCCGTCGGCGGCGCTGCCGGGGTCGCAGACGGGTCCCCACGTTTAGCTGAGCTTGAGGGTCCTGGGACACCCGCAGGCTCAGGCCCCGCGGGGCGCGGCTGGACAAGTCTCGGTAGACCCTCTCCGTGGCTGCCTTAAAGGGACCATCCTGGGAACTGCCTGGCGGGAGGTCCTGGGGCAAGAAGAGAGGTGGTTAGCAGCGTGGACAGATCGGCTGGGCACCAAGGCTCCCACGGGACCAGGCACTCGCCAAGGCCGGGGTCCCTGCCTCCTCTGTGGGCTGAGGTTTTTCTCAGATGAGGGCGAAGGAGACAGCCTGGCCCTGCAGGATGCGAGCCCATTGGTCTGAGCCCGCATACAGCCCCCAGAGCGCCCTCTCCCCTCAAGGGCCGTGGTGTGTGTGCGGGTCGGGGGGGTTGGCGGGTGTTATTTTGGCCACTAGATGGCGCAGGTCTCCCAGGAACAACCTCCTGGCGAGGAGGCGAAGGAGGAGCTGGTGGCCTGAAGGAACCAGGCTCAGATTTAACGCTTCTATTAGCACAGGCGGGAGCCGCCATCCACGCGAAAGGGAAATTCATGGGTCCAAGGTCCCCGGCTTTGTTCCCAAGGCTCCTGGGAAAGGCAGGACACATTTTTCTTTCCAAGAATGGATTTAATGTGAGCTCTGAATTTCTTGCCTGGCCTCCCCAATCTTCCCCAAGCTGCCCATGCTGAGATTTATCAAACTCTCAGAACTCACGTTGTGCGGCTGCTGTGGTCTGATGCTGAACTTTATTCCTAAAAGCAAACAGAGAGGATAATATTGGCAATGGAAGTACCACGTGGACTCCTGTAAGCAGTGGGACCTGCCTATAGGTTCCTGACTGTGGGTGCCTGGGCTGGAGGGCACTTGGTGTGAGTGCTGTGAAAAAACAGTTCAGGGGGCCAGGAGGAGAGGCAAGGCAGGGTGCAAGTGCCCCTCCACTTCCCTGACCCGCGTGGACAGTGGGGGTGCAGCAAACACGGTCCCACCGGCTCCCACCTGATGTTAACTTCTGAGCATCCTACGTCTTAGTGTGACCTGGAGAGGCCAGAAGGTGCCCCACCCACATATCTGCTCAATGGAGCAGCTGGGAACCTCACAGGCTGCCCCCACCTCACATTGTCATTAAGACACAGGGAAAGGCCCTTCGGGAAGATCTGTCCATCTTCTCTCTATGCCTCGGCTCTATGAATATGGCACACTTGTGTCTGTACTTGGCACACAGGTCTGGGAGTGGAACACACTCATTCCCCTTGGACTGGGGCCTCCCCACTGGCTTTGGAAAGTTTCTTCACCTCAGCATCTGCTTTGCAATTTGGGCCACTAGTTGGTCCTGGAGCTCTAGGGTGAGCTGATCTCATTCTGCCCACCCTGGTTTCCTCCAAAGGGCTGAGGAGAACCCCACACAGTGACTGATTGCCCAGCAAGCCCTTGCTGGGGACTAGGGGGAGATGGAGAGAGATCGGCGCATCACTGGCCACACCCTGGATCATCCCCTCTGCCCCCACCAAGGAGGTGCTTTGTCTGCACTGGGACTGGGATCACTCAGGACGAGTAAGTTCTAGAGAGGCAAATCTTTGGCCAAGCAGAGAGGATTTGGCCCATTTGAAGGGAGGTCTTGGGAGGATGAGAGGATTTCCTTCAAGAAGGCAGTGCTATTTAGGAGTCTTGGCCTCTTTCCCCATCCCTACCAGGCCATGGAGGCATTGGGCTCTTCTTGCCCTTGTGCCATGTGAGTGGTCGTGGCTTCTCTGAGGCTTTGCCACAAGGCACAGTCACAATCAGAGCCAATGATCCTTTAAACAAGTGGAGAGCTCTGACTCCCAGCTGGCACAATGGGGCACTGTGTCCACCACACCTGGCTGAGTTCTGGCTGCTGCTGAGGGGGGGAGGGGAGGGGTTGTTCTGGAGACACTTCCCCTGCTGTTTCTGGGAACTCTGCACAGGTCCAGTGTCTGGAGTCTAGCTGGCTCTCCGTCCCTGACTCAGGGACTCTGCCGATTCCTTGTGAGGTCCAGTTTTACAGGTTCAGCCCCTGCTATGACCCTGGCCTTATACTGCTCAGTCTGAGGATGGGCCCACAATTCTTCATTCATCAGCAAGTGAAGGTGAAAGGATGTGAGGTTACCTCTGGGTTGGGAAACTTAAATTCCCTGAGCCTTCCAGGACTTTTCCCAAGACCCCAAAGAGGTGGAAGTCAAGGCACAGCTTGTCACACTGCATCTTTCTTCTGCTGCAGCACTCTTCTTTGACCTCTTTGTCCAGGGGCTGACCCTTCCCTGGGAAAAGGGCAGAGGGTCTTCACCTTTATGGGCATCCCCCAGCTTATGAGCATTGTGGGTGTGTGTGTGTGTGTGTGTGCATGGATCAGCTCTGAAACAGGCCTTCTCGACTCTTCCATGGAGAGGGGAAAGCTCCATGTAGAACTGACTGCACCCCTCAGGAGGGTGGGGTGTGAGCAGTGGGTGTTTGACCTTTAGGCAGAAGCTTCTACAGTTAAGCCCCTCACCAGGATCCCCCTGTCAGCCCACAGTCTCCTTTTCTTAGCTAGCCACCTCCCACCCCGGCTGCACTCTTTCTCATCTCTTCATGAGGCCTGTCCCCAGCATGAGCTTCCTAAGCTCATTTCCAGCTGATACGTGCGGGTTTCCTCCTGCAGCCGATGATCACAGATCCCTCCACCAGAAAGGCCCCTCTGCATACTCGGTTTTTCTCCACACTGCCGGGTTTCCTTAATTATTTTCTTCTGGTGACGGCAGCTGGCTCTGTGAAATCACCTCTCCTCCTCAGAGTCTCAGATATGGGAATTTACTCTGCTTGTCAATCCTGCCAGCTTGTCAAGGTGTGATGGTGCTTATTTATATTCCTTTTCTGGAGCAAATGAGTCATGCCAGATTTGGCCCAGAGTGGGGCTGAGAAGCCACTTACAGAAGGCATCTTGCCAGCAGGCAAAGTGAGAAAAGGATGTGCTTACAGAGGTCACAGCCTCTACAGCTGTGACCTCCCACTGGCAGCATTCCCTCCACCTGGAGGGTGGTGGACTGTGAAACCTGACCCATTTTTACCTGTGCAGACTTCACAAGAGGGCCCTGAGCCTAAGGACTTTCCAAGGCTGGTCAGGCCAGAGTTCTGAGCGCAGACTGGCGATAAAGTCCTTGCTGACAGAGCCCAGGGGTGGGTGAGCCTCCTGACCTCTTGGGCACTTTTCCCCAACAAAGCCAACCAGGCCGCAATTGCCCCCTTTGAAAAAAAGGATTATCTTGTGGAAAACCCAATAACAGATTTTATATGGAGCTTGAGTTTGCCACAAGCTGAGCGGTCATGACCCTTAAACTTATGGCAGCTTGTTTGCAAAGACTGTGAGCCCATCCCATTTGGCCACTTTGGAATAAAGAAACTTAACAATGGAATGTAACAGAAATGGCCCCACTGGCCAGAGGCTAAGTGTCCCTACTTTCTCCATCAAGGAAGTAGCTTTATATGCACTGCTCAGATAAAGGTTGAAGCAAAGACCACCTGCAGCTCTGAGATGTGACAGCTGGGAGATGTCTTGGGCATCTTGAGGCTTGGGGAGGGTGGGGCGGTGCTCTGCGCATTCCCCAGAGGACTGTATTTCAGGACCTTGGACAGCTCTGGGGAGCCAGCAAGGAAAATGCCTCTACTGCACAACCAGGAAAGTATTGCCACCAGGGGCCCTGGAACCCAGGCCATGGGGAGTCTGGAGTAGGGTTTGGCCTCACTCTAAGACCACTTACTCCTGCCAAGCCTCCAAATAGGTGTACAACATAGATAAAAGCCACGGCCCCACCCTCTCTTCCATCCAGTGTCACCAGGCTGCCTCTCATCTCCTGTCCCCCACCCTTACTCTGGGACAGGAACCCCCAGGGCCAGTCATGTATGTGCTCTCCTTTCAGCGTCTGAGTTTCCCATCCTCTTCCTTCAGCATAATATTAACAACCTTTAAGGAAGCCCTATCCCCGCATACAGTAAGAAATAAACAACCACTTTCTCTCTCTGGACAGAGGACATTCGCAGAGTGGTTGAAACACATGCAGTACGATAAGAGTGAGCATCCGTGAGAATAAACAAGGCGTGAGTTATTGAGGCTGCCAACTGTGCTCCACACTGTGAGCTCTTCATTGGCTGGAGGTTTTCTTCTGAGCGTCTGGCTGAAAAAGCTTTCTGGTTACCTGCCAAGAGGAGGCAGAGGCTGATGTGACAGTGTGTGAGGCCAGTTTCCTATAATTAGGCCAGGCAGCCTGGACCTGAGGCAGAGCTGGGGAGGGGAGGTTTCAAGCATGTGGGGTGTTGGGGGGAGGGTCCCTTGCCCACCACTCTTCTCTGAATCACAAGAGGGAGACCTGCTGGGTTGCATTCAGAAGACTCAATCCTGGATGCCCAGGACCCACTGGGGTTAGGGGTTGGAAACCAGTCTTTCAGTCAGGTTGTGTAGACAGGTGACACTGATGTGGGTCCAAACAGAACCCAAGTACTTAGAAAGGGCTGCCTCATGAGCCCCAGGCAGGTCATTTGAGGAGAGTGATTGCTATTCTGGCTGCTCAAATTCTAGCCCTCCCTGATGGGCAGTGGGGAGAGGGTCCTGCCACTCTAAAAACACTGCAACCTTGGGGAAGGCATGGCCATCCCAAAGGAGTCAGACCCACAAAGTGGAGGCAGAGATGGGAGAGAACTGGAGAGGCCACAGGGTATGAGTGGAAGTTTAAAGACACTGCCCTGTCGGGAGTTTCAGACTCGCGGTCCTTGGATTCCCCAGAGGTTCTGCATTGAGCTGGGGTTCCCTGGCTCCTTTTCCACAGCCTGGCTCTTCTGATGGCTGAGCCTGCATGGTGGACATCCCCATGCCCACACGTCCACTTACGCTGCCCATCAGGCCAGAAAACTCTAGGGGTTTCAGGCTGGAGGGAGCCAGAAGGGACATTGAAGGCAAACCCCGCACTGCAGTTTGGTTCCCTCATGTGCGAGACACAGCCTCCAGGCATCGGTCCCACCCCAGGTTCCCTGGCAGTTGCCTCTGGGGGGATGAGTGCTGTCACCTGCTCTGCTGTTTCCACATCCCACATAGAAAGAAGTAGACACCCACCATGTGTGCCAGGAGAAAGGCCTCCCTGCCCTGGGGCAGCTGCATAGCCGGCCAGTGTGCAGGACCTCACACAAGCAGTGATGAGCTACAAGGTGTGAAACCGAGATGCTGGGAGGAGAAAAACACAGCCAGGGCACATGTACTACCTTCCCACTGGGGTCAGAGAAGAAACCCCGAGGGAGCTGCCAGGCTCTACTCCACAGGAAATCTGAAAGGTTTCTGAATCAGGGTTTCTCCTCCAGAGAAACAACCAATAGGATATATATATATATATATATATATATATGTAAAATTTGTATATCATATAGCAGGGGATTATTTTAAGGAATTGGCTCTTGTAATTGTGGGGGCTGGGTGAAATCTTCAGGGCAGGCCAACAGGCTAGAGATCCACGGAAGAGCTGATGGTGCAGCTCAGGTCTGAGGGCCGTCTGGAGGCAGAATTCCTGCCTTCTTTCCTCCTAAGGCCTTCAACTGATTAGATGAGGCCCACCCACACATGGAGGGTAATCTGCTTTACTTGAAGTCAATTTTTTTTTTTAATTAATGAGAAGGATTGGGGGTGCTGTGCTAGGTCTCCGTTGCTGCACTCAGGCTTTCTCTAGTTGTGGTGAGCAGGGGTTATTCTTTGTATGGGCTTCTCATTGCAGTGGCT